CCCCGGCACTCGGGCAGCTGCTGCTCCCAGAACAGGCCGAGCCTTGTCCACAGCCCCAGCCCGGTGTGGCCCCCTAAGGGGATGAAGCCTTCTTTCAGGGAGGGCTCAAGGCCTGAGAGGACCCCACTCCACCACCCCCGGGAGTGTGCAGGGGACAGCCCCACCAGCATCTCCATGGGGCACAGTAAACCAAGAACGGGTCAAACAGGAGACCCGCCCTCGGCCCCAGGACGTGGGCACCCACAGAGCCGTCCCCTTGGCCAGGGCCCAGCTTCCCTGCAGAGCCCCCTGGAGCGGGGGGCATCCTTGGCCCCCAGAACCTTCATGTCCTGAGCCTGGCCTGTGAGGCCCCCCTGAGGGGGACAGGGAACGTCTCCCCAAGGTTCCCACCCTTCCACCCGCCCTGCTGTGGCCAGGCCGAGGTTCAGAAAACTCACTCTCATCCTCACCTCCACCCCCAGGCAGGGCTGCAGGGATGATAGGGCCCAGGAAGGCGGGAAACAGGCTTCTGTGGCTGAAGACAGCCAGGAATTGGTGATAAGACCCAGCCAGCCACAGGGCAGGAGGCGGGAGATTAGAAAAGGCAGCTTGGAGCTCTGCCTGCAGGACAAGGGCCCCCAAGGGGTGACCCAGAGCCAAGCAGAAGGGAACCCCAGTGTGTTCAGGCCTGCCTGCTTGCCCAGAGCCCCACGGGGCGTCACGATGTGAGTCCAGGGCAGCCCAGGACCAGCCCTCTCGCTGAGCCTTGCTCCAGCTCCGCCACAGTAACGCAGCCTCCCGGGGTAGGGAGCAGAAAGGGCTTTGCAGGGATGGCAGGAGGCGCTGGGCCAGGCCTGGGTCCAGCCATGTGTCAGGAGGCCGGCCCTGCTCATGCCCTGCGCACTCCTGGTGCCAGTCCCTCGCATGCACGCACACACTCGGAGGCAGAAAAGCCCGGGCCGGAGCAGTAGCAGTCCCCAGGGAGCTGGAGATAGCTCTAGACAGCCAGGCCCTGGTCTCTGAGCCTTAAGATGGGGCCGGGGTGGGGGCGGAGGGGCCGGAAGGCCTCTGGCATCCCTGCCAGCTGTCGGACTCCAGCTCTCTGAAGAAAGGCTGGCGGGGGGCTGCTGTCCTCCCCAGACTGGCAGCCCAAGCCTTATCGCCCAGGGACACATCTTCCTCCTCTGCCCCTGCCCTGCCCGGGCTGCCCACGCCCCCTTCCTTCCCCTCTAACTCTTCTTCAGGAAACCCCCTGGGGAGGCCAGACCCTGGGTGGAGTGGGAGGGGACCCCAGGAGCTGTGGGACGATTGGGGTGGGGGCCTTCAAGGGGCATGGCGTGCTATCCAAAGATGATCTATTTTTTTCACACATAGTACCTTATTAGAAAATCAATAGGCCCAAAATCTCGGGACAGGACCTGCCTGGCCTTCCTCAGCACCTGGAGTCCCGGCCGCGCCCGAGCTGGGCCCAGCTGGTATAGAGAGGAGGAGCTGAGACCCGGGGTCTGCCATGGACTCCATGGTCTCGCCACCCGAGGGCGTGCGCCCAGCAGGGCAATGCCGCTGAAGGCGTGTGCTCTGAGAGTGTCCTGTCGTGGCATCTGACACCGGGGCCAGGGAGCTGAGGCTCAGACAGGATCACACGGCAGAGCCAGGCCCAGACCCAGTGCTGTGAGGGTTTGCTCCTGCCCTGAGCCACCAGTGCCAGCTGGGGTCCTCGCAGCCTCCTGCAGATGCTGTCTGCAGGGGGAGGGGAGGAGGGGAGGAGGGCAGCAGCTGGCTGCTGGGGCAGAGGGGAGAGAAGTCAGACCTCTCCGCTCCTGAGTCTCTCCCAGATCCCTGAGTCAAAGGTGGGGGGCAGGAGAGGGACAGATTGCCCCACAGGAGGGTTTGGCCCTCTGGGCTCAGAGCCCGAGGCCAGCTAGAGACCCAGAGGTCAAGGACGCAAACCCAGGAAGCAGCACGCTGCAGGCTCCAGTGTTACACGCCCGTGCCGGGTACACCACACACAGGGCTCTCCACTGGAGCCAGGTGACTCCCCGAGCCCCGCGCGCCCCCCCCCCACGCTCTCCCCCAAGCCTGGCAGAGTGACAGTGGCGCAGACAGCCCCTGGCCAAGCCGTCCAGCTCCCAGCGGGGCCAAACGCGCCCTTCGAACTTCCTTTTGGCCCGTTAGGCGAGTGAAAAGAAAAAACAGGAACCAATCATCTCTGCTGCAGTTAATGAACAGCCACTCCGCTCTGATTCCCACAGAGCTGGTCTGGGAGTAAGAGCAGAGATTGTGAAAGGAGCGGGTTTCTTCATCAGAGGTCTCGATATCGGCCCTCCGGAAAGAGGCCCCGTTCATCTCCTGGTAGACCTCTGATCACGACAGCGTGCCCGGCCCTGGGTCGGAATCTCGGCCGTGCTTCGGCCGGGAATGGCCTCAGACTGGGCAGGCCCGGCACCCCGACTCCAGGCCCGGCCGGGGCGACCGTGACTTCTGTTAGTGAGGCCCCCCATGCCTCGGGGGGCTGTGCCTGATTTATAGCCACGGTGGCGGCCCACCTGGAGCACGGCCTTGCTATCTCAAAAGAGGCGGTTGGACTAAGATTTCCAAACTTCCCTTTTGCTCTAAACTCTCACGTGTGAGTCGCTGACCTTCGGTGAGACCGACCTACCTTGACTGAGAACCCAGCACCCGGGTTCCCTTTTTGAAAGGGTTGGGTAAGCCTCGGCTGATGCTCCAGGCCGGCCTCAGAGGCCCTTTGGCCTTCCCTTATGTTTGAAGACACGACTGACGCGAGGGGAGAACAGCACACCTTTCCACGCGGGCACCGTGGGGAACCACAGAGAGTGGCTGTTGCCCTCTTAGACTGGAAGGGGCTCTCAAATAGCCCCTCCTGCATTCAGAGGCCACAACTTCGGAAGCAAAGTCAGTTTCTGGTGATATACCCAAACACTGAACAGCAGGACTGGGGGTAGGTGGGAGGAGCTCGGGAACAAAGCATTCAACAGGGCCAGCCAGGTGGCATGGTGGTTAAGGTGGCTGAATCCCATGTGGCCCACTGTGCGGTTGAGTCCTGGACCCAGTGGCTTGAAAAACACACTGGGTATGTGGTGTGCAAACCCGAAACCCTGAGAAAAGCGGGCGGAACTTCTGCGAGAGCACCCCCGGGGTGACTTCTCAGCCCCCCACCCCCCCCTCCTGCGAGTGCCCCTGCCCTGTAGCAATTTTCTTTTTTAAAAAAGCGTTTAACAAACATGAGCACATAAAAGTCTTTGTTGAAAACAATGTCTACAGTAATTGCCCTGATTCGCTTATCACACGCTGCAGACACGCTTTGGAAAACATACTGTACGTCATAAAGGTGCACGCAATTACACGTGAGAAACTAGAAAATAAAAATGAAAGAGAATCCCCTTCCCTGCCCTCAAAAAAAACAAAAAACCAATACTGCCAAAACTTTGACCTCAGGTTCCTGGCTTCCAGAACTGTGAGATAATACATTTCTGTGGTTTAGACAAGAAGAGCGAGGAGAGAGCGAGAGCGAGAGAGAGAGAGCCCCTGAAAGCAGGACCCGCGCTGACTGCAGCCAGTCCCCAACAGCCCCAAGTGGAAGGCACGGGTGTCATGGCGGATGGTGAACGCACAGAAGGACAGTACTCAGCCCTCGAGAGAAAGGGGATCCTGGCACGGCTGCCGTGTAGATGGCCCTGGGGTGGATGTAGCCTGTCACAAAGGGAAAGTCCTGGGTGAGGCCACTCACACGAGGCACCCAGAATCGGCCAATCCGTTGACACCGAGCGTGGGTAGTGGTCCTGGGGGTGGGGAAACGGGCTGGTGTCTGGTGCGTGTGGGGTTCGGCTGCACAGAGCGAGAAGAGGTCTGCGGTGGCCGGCGGTGACAGCAGCAAGCACCACTGAGCCATACCCGGAAACAGTGGGAACGGTACATGTTTTGTCGTGTGTTTTATTCTGATCGAAACAGAAGCAAGAGAATCCCCCGCACACCGTTAGAGAACAGGGCAGCTCCTGGCCAGGATTCCTGGAGGGAAGGAGCAGAGGGTCTCCTGGACTGAGGAGGCGACACTTCCTGCTGTTTGTGCTGAGGGTCTAGGCACCGTGCTGCAGCCAGTGGAGATTCGCACCTGACCAGACTAGTTCCCCTGGGGATGACCTGGGCCACCGGGACCCAGAGCCCTGAGAATCCTCATGCTCCCCCATAAGACTCCCCCACCCACCCTACTTTCCCATAAAGCCTTGGGGAAGTGATCCACTCTAATTTTTTTTTTAATCTTTGCCACAGGGCATGTGCACTCTGGAGAGACCAGCAGAGAGAAACAGAGAAACAGGGAGCTAGCACGAGAGCACTCCTCAGGGGGCATGGCCACACCACAGCCCCTTCTCCTTTACCCCCTCAGGATGTGGGGCGCACACACATGCCCAGGTTAAGGTGGCTGAATCCCACGTGGAACTCAACACGCAGTTGGCCAGGTGGGATCCAGCCGCCTTATCCGCTGCACAGCCTGGCTGGCTGGGCTGTCCCGGTTTGAGTGGCCCCGCTGATCAAACCACGACCGCGAGCTCTCTGGCACAGCCTGGAACTTGGTGCAGAGGAGCCAGACATGGACCCTAACATCCGAGGGGCAGAGAGGAGAGTTACACATCTCCTTTTCCAAAGATCGCCTCCTGCACCTCCACAGACGAGAAGCCCACTGTCGTACTCGGACTGGACAGACCGCCCATTGCCGGCCGAGCCTGGTGGGCAGCACAGCCCGGCCAGCTCCTACTCCCTCCCAGATCCACACCCAGAGACTGCCCCCGAGAGAGGTCAGGAAGCTGCAAAACTTTTCCCCAGAAATACAGGCACGGGCACACCGGCGGTCCCGCAGCCTCCCTTAACGAGCCCTGTGAGCATCTCTGTACAGGTGCCCGAAGACTCGAACTTACCTTCTTCTCCAAAAATAGGCAGCGAGGCTAAGGACAATCAGGAAAGAGT